ATTAATTAAAGTTCAAAGAAGTAGTTTTGTAAAGGTTCTGTCCAGATTTTCAGTAAATAAAATTGTTGTTCAGTTTTTTAGGCCTGATGTATTTGGTTGTTGCTTGTTCTTTTAATAGTCTATTTATACAGCCAATTTTACACATTTAACAATTAAAGCAATTTACATCTAGTCTGTTAACCAAAAAATAAAAATTGTATAAAAATCCGAAAATCCAAAAATTGAATAAAATCCGATGTTTCAGATTTTTTTTTATTATAACATTTTTTAATAACCTTATTTTTTTTATAAATCAAAATAAGAAAAGCTTAAGGAAATAAACAATAACATAAACAGAACAAACAAAAAGTAAAAAAAAAAGGAACAAAGTCCATTTCACAATACACAAACAGTCGGACACAACATAATTCAGTATCATCCAGAAAGTATAATGAATTAAATATAAAAATATATATAGTTTACAGAGAAATGTGTGGGCTCCAATGCCACCTCTAATGAGTTACAAGTCAGGATTACTGATATAAAACATAATTGGGTTCCAGATTTTTAACAAAAAATCTATATTTTGTGTGTTTGCTATCCCATATCGCATTTCTTCCATGGCCAACACATAACTTAAGCATTTTATTGAATGTTGCAACTATCCCTGTGGGTTGTTGCAACATTTGACTTTGTCTGTTCAAGTTTAAATTCTGCACATATTCTCATTTATACAGTACATACATATTATACACTGTAAAGCCCAAAAAGTTAAAGTAACACAAACCGTTTGAGGAAACTGATTGCAACAAACCATTTAAGTTAAAAAACTAATCCTAATGAGTATTGTGAACTTAATCCATTTGAGTAAACAAAGGAATTTAAGCACAGTAAAACCCAAAGAATAAAGAGAACTCAAACCAACTGAGTACTGTAAAACCCAATAAGTTAAGGCAACACAATGATGTGTTGTATTTATTGTACTGTAAGTGTATATTGTATTTGTTATAACTGTTCAATTTGTTACTTCCTGCCCAGGGACTACAGATGTAAATTAGCTTTATAGCTAACTCTGGCACAACATGTCATGTTGTACATTGTCCCTGTATAAATAAATAAAGTAAATAAATAAACACAAATCGTTTGAGTAAACTGATTGCAACAAACTATTTGAGTTAAACAACTAATCTATATGAGTACTGTGAACTTCCTCCATTTAAGTTGAAGTAATGAGGTATTTAATAAACTCATTACCTTCAACGCTGAGTTCAAAACACTTTTCAAATGAGTAGAATTAACTTTTAGTAAATTTTGAGTTAACTAAACTCATTTCATTTGATAAAGTTGAATGTTGGATATTACAGTGTAACAATGTGGATGGGTGTTCAATAAATGTGAGTTTATTATATAAAAATTTTGGGTTTCCACATAAAACTTAAGAAACTAAAGAAAATGCAAAACGTGTTGCAACTGTCCCCACTATACAAGAAAATGTTAATAGAAAGAAGCAAGCAGATTTCTTATACTTTTCAGGTCTTTTTTATTTTTAGAATTGATTGATTGATTGATTGCTGCATGAACATACTTCCACAAACATGAGGAAATTAAAACATGCCTAAAATATCTTTAAAAACAGGGTCAGAAAAGTAGGACTTTGTTAGGAGAGAACAAACCAATTCCATGACGAGGTGGAAACAAATAATCAGCTGGTAAGTTCTTAAATTCCTCATAACAACTAAAAGACTCCTTGCATGCTATACATGCATGTAACTGTAGCTGTATGACAAAAACCTTCAATAAAAAAGCATACAGAAGTGAAACACAATATTGTGTTTTCTTCAAAAGAAGGAAAAGAACGAGAGAAGCTGACAGAGAGGTGGAGGAAAAAGGAGAAATATGTAGTGTAAAACAGTAAGAACATTCTTTCTTGTAAACATAAGGCACCACTTTAACTGCCAGGAGCTGTTAATAATAAAAATGTTTACAAAACAATCTCATAATTACATGCTCGAAATATCAGTCTCAAACTAATAACGACAAACCAATGCATGAATATACAGATGCACCATTGTATTAAGTAATACTCATGCCCAAATGTATCAGTAAATAATATATTCAAACTGGTCACATGCTCAGTGATTTATGTTTAATAAATAAATCTTCAAAAGACTACATATATAAATCCAGATGCATATAATTTTTTTTACATTGAACTCAAATAAAATATTTATGCATACAGCAAAAAAAAAAAAAAAACCTTATGAATGTGAATCAAATGTAAATCTTGCACCCATTTTACCTCATAAGACATTATCAGGAGCCACAGGTATTCATTTTGTTTTGCCTGTATGTTTTTGTCACTCTCAAAGTGCTGGCAGCCATTGACATGGATTATAAGAATCAGCAAGGACCACATTTGCAACTAAAATCATCTTTAATGTTCTGCTTAAGAAGAAAAGTCATCAACACTTTAGATGGTGAGTGAATGAACAGCGAATGAGCATTTTTGTGTGAACTGTTGCTTTAAGATGTAATTGTAATAACTGATAAACAGCAGAGGTAGAAAACAAACAGTTTAAAGATATATAAAACAACTTAAATAGTCCCATTATAATTTTCGAGTTACATTTATGCTTTTTGTGTTTAGAAAAAAAATGATGGAGTGTGTGTACTATTTATTAAAAGGTAGTAAAAGTCTGCAGTATCATTTAAATCGGTTATTGATGGCTGAGGTCAGCTTTTTCATTATTATTAATACTCTAATGCCACCTAGTGGACAAATACTAACCATCATCACCTTTAAGGGGAAAAAAAGAAGTAATGTTCCACATTTAAAAAATGACAGGAATACACATTTTAGTGAAATGCACAGTGCAAACATGTTGAACAATTACATATCATAAAAAGACAAACAACAAACCATCCAAAATGACAGACACGCGCGTGGAAAAGGCATTGAGAGACTGCGAATGGCAGATCTGTGTGGGATTCAGATCCAACAATGAAGTAATTCTGCTATTGATTTACAGAAAAAAAAAAAACATTAAATAAACATTAATAAACTATTCAAAAAATTTGGAATAATTCAGACTGTTTAATGTGTTTGAAAGAAGTTAAAAAAACGATGAATATAATACAATAAAAATGTATCATGCCATTTTTTTAAAATTTCAGTATGTTTAAATAAAAAAAAAACTCTTTACTGTCACATGAAAATATTGTTTTATTGTTGAATAAAAGTATTAAATAATTATTTATTTTAAAAAGATAAATGGGAATATAGATCTTTTATTTATTTAATTATAAAACTGCATTGAATAATATAATGATATCTGAAGAAATCAATAATATAATATAATATAATATAATGATATCTGAAGAAATCAATATATATATATATATATATATATATATATATATATATATATATATATACATATATATATGCCAAATGTGAAATGTCAGGAGTCTGAGTGTATGCTGTAAATAAAATTTCCCCACGGGGACAAATAAATTTAACAAATAAACAAACAAACAAACAAACAAACTCACTCACTCACTCACTCACTCACTCACTCACTCACTCACTCTCACTCCCTCACTCACTCTCTCTCTCTCACTCACTCACTCTCTCTCACTCACTCACTCACTCACTCACTCACTCACTCACTCACTCACTCACTCACTCACTCACTCACTCACTCACTCACTATTTATACATTACATTTATTTTTGTAAGAATGTCTCACATGTAATGCTGGTCCAATTACTGTATTGTACATTTTATATTTCTAATGTCAGCACAAATACACAAAAATACTACAAAATAAACATCAATGAAAAAATATTCTTGGTGGACACCCTGTCACTCTTGCTGGTCAGGCCAAACAAGTCTTTAAATTGCTCTTCCATAAGCATTATGCTGCAGTTCAGGATTGTGGAAGTTTTCCAAAAAAAAAAGGTAGTGATTGTGATTGTATACATATACATTAGTCAACAACTGAAGTGGATAAAATTGTCCTACTGTTAGACAAGAATGGGTGTTGCTGAATAGTTTTTGGACAACTTCGATGAAACATTTTGATCCACTTCAAATGTTGACTGCTATATTCTCCCAGATTTGATGGATAATAGTTGACTCGAAGTGTATTGCAATTAGAGGTCATTTACCAATTCAGAAGACAATATAAACAATGTTAATATCAGATATTTATGGTGTAAATGTGTGTACTATTGTTTGATAATTGAATAAGCAGTTTTGAGTGTGATGAAAAAAGATTGAGAAGTTGTGAGAAGTTTAAATGAGAATCGACTCATCAGTTTTGATCAACAGGCCATATTCAATTTGTTTTTGTCCAAACTACAGACAATTGTACCCACTGTTTGCACACGTGAGCCAAAGCATTTGCAATTTGCTTAAATCAATAAGAAATGCCAATCTGAAGTGAAAACCCAAGCAACTGAGAAAAACTGTAATGTCTTATTAATTAAATAAGTTGACCCTAAAATCTTTCAAATGCACGAAAAAATCCTAATTATTCCAAACATTTCCCCACCAATCCTGTGTATATAAATATTCAAATAAAACTGACTTAATAATAATAATAACAACAATAAAAATACACAGAGGAAGAGCTGACATGCAAATCCTAAGTATTTCTTTTTAAAGTTAAAAGCACATGAAGGAAGAATGGTGATTCAAACCATTAGATCTGAAATTCCTTCAAATAAAATGAACCCATTTGAATCAATGCAGTAAGTTAATGCCATATTCCATCTTACCTTAATGCCAAACACACAGCGAAAACACCACAACTATCCTTACTCATGACTGCATTCCTCTAACTATCCATCTAAAAAACAAACATCTGTTCTAGTATACAAGAACAAAGCAATCTTTTTAGCATTTTCAGCTTTCTTTTCTGGTCTGTGTCGTAACAAGAGCATGTTTTTGAAGCCACTCAGTGACGGAATAACACTGTGAATGACGTGAAATTCATTACAAACCAGCGTCCTTTCGTTTACGTTTGTAGTTCCAGAAAAACGTTTTTATTCTTCGATCTTTCCTCTTCCTCCACCGCAGTATGAGCTTCGTGAAGGTCTTGGAGAATGTCGAAGAGTTGTGAAACTCCGTCAGATTTCTTCTGGTCTGAAAGATCAAAATTATGGTTCATATTGATTGACAAGACTAAGCATCATATTTATGTCAACACAACACAAGTAATCTTAAAAATAAGAATTGGTGTTAGTGGTGCTTTAATGTGGACTTTGGTTAAATATTACATTGAAATGAAGACATCAGTGAAAATAAAGAAAGCAGTGTTATTAAGGTATTATTTGAGCATTTATCAACATTTATTAATGATAAAGTGTGTTTACCTGAGAAAATACTAAGTTATATAAGGTTACAATGGTTAAGGTTTTTAGTAGTTTTGACATTTTGTTATTTTTTTCTTAGTTATTATAATGACTTGAGCCTTCAAAAATCATTAAAATATGATTTTCTTTCTAGAAATATGTTGAAGACATTTTTTTTGCTGCGCATTATGTTTGTTGAAAATGTGATAATCTACCAGAGGTTTCGTTGGAAGTCTGTTAAATAAATCAAATTATTATTTAACGCTTTTATTCAGCGAGAATGCAACAATATTACATTATATAGATATTCTGTAATAGCAGCACTCTTACAGCCTCTTCACCCTCCTGTATTACTCCGCCCACATAGAGTGACAGCAGACCAATAGACTCACTACAGTTTGACAAATATTGCAGCTGTTGTAAAACATAATGTACTTTTGAGGCTTTTTTAGTCGAGAATGTAGTTGTAAGGATGGTGCCTATTTTAAATATTAAGAATTTCGGAGATTTAGCGCACCAGTGGATATCAGCTTGGCACTGAGCAGAGCAAAGACGATTCCGTCACAAGATGGTGACAGAGACCGGATAATAAGTCCTTAGAGGAGGAAAAACAGCATTTTGTACAGCTGAACAAATGATTATATAACAGGTGAGTGACAGAAATTCGCTCTGTCTCTTTTGTATGTTGTAGTGCTGTATTTATACCATAGTAATCTTGCTTTGACGTTTTCGGGGTGTATTATAAAAATATTGGGAAATCTCTGTAGATGGATGGCATTTCATGTCGTTCAGCCTTATCACTTGTTTTGTCATCAACCTTAGATATAACGCTAGAGAATTATTCAAACACTAGCTCTAAAGTAACGTTTGTGAAGTAGCAACGGTTTCTGCTGTTCTGATGGTCAGCTGCAGATGTTAATGAACGGTGAAACAAAGTAGTTTTCGTAGAAAAGGATTTTCGTGATATACACGATTATGTCGTCGAACTGTTGTATAAACGCATAATATCTGTATAACGTATACGGCTGTATATCTTCACTGTTGAGACACTTGCGGCCTCGAGCCAAAGCATGCCTTTCACCAGTGGTAATATACAGCCATAACACACTGCTATTGCTATATTATATTATATTATATTATATTATATTATATTATATTATATTATATTATATTATATTATATTATATTATATTATATTATATTATATTATGTTATATTATATTATAATATATTATATTATATTTTAAAGAGTAAAATTACATAAGTTGTTAAGTATAAAAAATACTAAAAGAATTCTTGAAAAAAAATGATGGTTTCCAAAAAAACAGAATATTAAGAACCCTTATTAATAAAAGATAATAACTGAGCAGTAAATAACAAAATGTGGGTATTTCTGAAGGATCATGTGATACTGATATCTGGAGTAAATGTATAAAATATATTTTAACATTAAATATATTAAAACATTACAAAGTCATATTTCACAATAATACTTTTTTATTGCATTTTTATAATTCTATTCTATTCCATTCTATTCTATTCTATTCTATTCTATTCTATTCTATTCTATTATATTATATCATATTATATTATATTATATAATTACCTTTTTCCATTTGTGAGCATTTGTGAGCATAAGCAATGTCTTTCAAAAACATATAAATATGTAATTGATTTTTGTTATTACTATTAAAAACTTTTGACTGACATTATATATAAAATATTATTAAAAAATGTTTCTGTTACTAAAAAAGTTTTTTTAATAGTTTTAAATTATGTTAATGAAACCAACATTGAAGAAAACAAAGCGGAGAGTCGCTCACCTCTTCCTGAATCTGCCTCCTGAATTCCTTGCTGCTCTCGCAACTTATAATACTTATCTCTGCCAAAAGAAAGCACAAAACACCATTTTAGCACTTCTAGACTTACACTGACATACATTCGAGAAAAACATATACAAAGAAGTAATACAAAACCAATTTAAACATGTTCAACTACTGTGTATAATTAAATTCTAATATTATTATTATATTTATGAATAATTGGATGCACAATTTAGTGTGTTAATGTCACCTAATGTCACTATAAGACATTTTGATTCTGACTGGCTGATGAACATACTCAACTGGGCATATATTTTCAGATAAACACATTGCTAAAGCAGTTCCTGATGTTTCCATATCACTCTGTGTTGCATGATTTGACAGCCTGCATTGTTAAAAAATTCAGTTAATTAACTGTTCCGTATTTTGTGATTCACAAGTGTTTTCCTTTTATTTACGGTTGTGAATTGTATTATGGGATGTTGATCTCAGCTCTGTTGACTTTTGATGTTGAAATTTCAACTCTGCAATTTAACAAAGTGACTTTTATTGACATGTTAATAGTTTGAAAAAATATAAATGTATATGAAATAGTTTATAGAGGAATAAGTCTGTAAAATGACAAAATGTAGCTTGTTTGTTACAAGGTTTCTTTACCAACCCAGACGATATAGCACTTCAACTATTAAAATGTGAGTAAAAGCCACTTTTTCAAACTTTTCAAGCTCAAAAGTTGTTGAAAAACCTGACAAATGTTTTTAAAACATCTGGACAACGTCTTTAGATGAGGTGATCGTTGTATATCTAAAGCAGGGGTGCAAAAACTTTTTCTTTAGAAGGGCCAAAAACAAACTGTGGTGAATAGGGTGGGGCTGAGAGCCATGATGGCGTACGAGGCAGGTGGCATGAGTGATATAATCTAAGACACCTGGACACATCACCTGCCTCAAGTCTCACGAAAGAGCCCTGGAAGCTTAAATGAGGAGAGATGCCAGAGCTAGACGAGAGAGGACCTTTTTTTGTCGGTTTGTCGGTTCTCCGCCTCCTTATTCCCGTTGGCCAGGCGGCCATCTAACTTTATTACACCAACCTTGATTGAGGTGGGCTGAAGGTAAATATAGTTATGGTCGATTTTCTAATTTATTTAGTGAAGTTTCACAAACTAATTTCGAGAGGAGCATGTGATATGAATGATCGCAGCTGGTCTTTGATCTGTAATCATTAGTAAGCCAATCAGATTATTATAAACTCACTATAAGTAGCCTGTTTATAAGTACTCCCTATCTTTGTTTTCTGTAGAAACCCCCCATCCACCCCATCCCCCCTGCTATATTATCAAGCAATACCTAAATGTGAAGTTTTGAAATAATATTTAAAAATAACTGGAAAGCATTGCTTTATATTATCCATACATCATTTTAAAAACATTTTATAATGAACTTATTACAGTTAAAACATGAACACATCCCATTTAAAACATAATGCAGTTACACTAGTTTTTGCCTTGATTTGCTCATCTATGTTTTTTGCATTGTCTTCTATTCATCTGTAACGTGAAGTGACCTTGAGAACAGAGGTGCGGATCCGAATGCAGAGTCTTTATTGAACAGAGAATGTTCAAGCAAGCAACAGTCAACACAGGAGCAAACAGATGTAAAAGGGCAATTCAGAGTCATAGTCAAAATAACAGGCAGATGGTCAAAAAAGGCAGGCAGCATACAACGAAAACAAACACAACATAGCGAGGGTCAAAAACAAAGCAAGACAAAGGAAAACACGTTGTAATGTTCACTCACAGTTCAACATAACTAAGCAAAGTCTGTGTGTTTGTGTTCTGCGTATATAGCCCTGAAATCAGTCCATGAGCAGCTTCAGCTTTGTGTTTGCCATCAGTCAGGATCAGGAACCGGTGTGAGTGTGTGTGTGATGCATGACTGGAATTGTAGTTCATAAATGGCAAATTTGTAGTTCTATGTGATCTGTGTTTACCAGTGATCTCTCCACAGGTTGGATCGCTGGTGACCATGACACCGTCGAGTGACATTGTTTACATTTTTAAAAATCGGATTCATTTACATTTAATTGAAACATTTGATTTTAGTTAGCTTTTTTTGTAGTTCAGCAATAAAACAAACAAAAAACGTTACATCGAATTAGAAATGCGTTCTCGTTTAAAGGCATTCGCCCCAACCCTCTCCATCCTTTTCACTTTCTTCTCAGATGGGATGGTGGGCCAAATCAAAGGTTACAATTAGCCAACTTTGTCCTGAAGGCCCGACTCTGGGCATCTCTGATCTAGAATAACTGACAACAGTCTTTTGAATTATTCGAAAATAATGTACACGCCAAGGTGTAATGGTCATTCTGATTCCACCGAGATCAAATCAGCTGTGTATTGTTTGCAAAAAATTGAATGGTACATCGTAGATTGTTTCTCACTTACCGCATGGCATGCTGGACGCTGCTGAGATGCTGATAGATGAGCTGAGCCTCCAGATCTGGGTCCAGTGGGTCGTACCATTCCTGCAGAGTCACTCCATGTCGGGTTTTATCACAGCCGGGGTCTACGAACAAAGAGTTCAGTCAGTAAAGACACTTTTTTTTAAAGTGCAAAAGTGGCTGCCCCCATTTTGAGCACTCTACATTACACCACTTAAAATCGTAAACCAACCAATTATTGGGATAATCATAATATTACAAACTTCAAATCAACTAATTATATCAACATCACAAGTGCCAAAACCAGATTTACCAGGTTAAATGTGCCAATCTGAAAAAGTATATATACACTCAAATTATTTTTGCTGCTTCTTCAAACTACTTATTGAAAATGAGCTGAATCGACACAATTCCTGAGGCTTTTTTGGATATCCTAATTGTTTTATATATGTATAATCCACTTAAATTTAATAGTTAATACATTTAATAATAGTTACGTTTTGTAATTAATCATGATTAATAATAAAAAAGTGTGATTAATTATGTTAATTTTTTTAATTATTTGACAGCCCTAATAAAAATATCTCTTTAATAAATCAGTTTTGTTTAAACACACAACATTTATTGCCTAAATTTTCCGAGAAAGGATATTAAAATGGGGTGTACACATTTATGATGAGCACTGTACATTTAAAATACATTAAAATAGGAATATCATTTTAAATTATATTAAAATTGTGCTGTATATATATATATATATATATATATATATATATATATATATATATATATATATATATATATATATATATATATATATATATATATAATATAAATGCAGCCTACGGAAAAAAACATTAGCTCAATACTAGCTAAAACACAGTGTAATATTTTGCAGTACCTGATTTCTCCTTCTGATGGCAGCAGCTCCATCTGTCTGCTTTGTAGATGCCGGGATGAAAGCAGCTCATAGTGTTTGTGTTGTGACTGCAGGCTTTTCTGAGAGCCGACAGCCAGTGATTCAACTCATTTACACTCTGCAGACAAAGAGTTTTAAACAATGAAACATCAAATAAGCCCTTTTAGCTTTTTCAGGCCCCATTCTTACAGTCTCGCCAAACAACAAACAAGTGTCTGAGAATCAGTGCCTATGAAAAGCCTCATTGAGGATTTGTTTGTATATGGAGTGAAGCACTAACTTTGCAGTCGAGGTATAGGGTCTCCTGCTGGCCTGAGTCTTCACTGGAGATGATCTGCATGACGTTGGCACTGCCGAAACACTTCTCCTCCACCTTCTCTACCGCACGGATCTTTGGCAGGGAAATAGATGAGCTCTTCTATAGAGTCAAAGACCAAACGCCCGGTTAATATAGCTTTAAGGGTTTTTATCAACATAATATTCAATATTTTTAATTATTAAAAATATATATACAGTTGAGGTCAGAATTATTGGCCCCCTTTTGATTTTCTTTTTCCTTTTTTTGAATTATTCCCAAATGATGTATTACAGAGCAAGGACATTTTCACAGTATGTCTGATAATAATTTTTCTTCTGGAGAAAGTCTTATTTGTTTTATTTTGGCTAGAATAAAAGCAGTTTTAAATTTTTTAAAAACCATTTTAAGGTCAAAATCATCAGCCCCTTTAAGATATATATATATATATATATATATATATATATATATATATATATATATATATATATATATATATATATATATATATTCGATAGTCTACAGAACAAACCATCATTTTACAATGACTTGCCTAATTACCGTATCCTGCCTAGTTAACCTAATTAACCTAATTAAACCTTTTAATGTAACTTTAAGTTGTATAGAAGTGTTTAATATGTGTAGTGAAATATTATTTACTGTCATCATGGCAAAGATAAAATAAATCAGTTATTAGAAATAAGTTATTAAGACTATTATGTTTAGAAATGTGTTAAAAAAAAATCTTCTCTCTCTTAAACAAAAAAATTGGGGGGAAAAATAAACAGGGGGGCTAATAATTCTGACTTCATCTGTATATTTAATAAATAGATTCTATATAACAGGGGTGCCCAAACTCAGTCATGAAGGGCCGGTGTCCTGCAAAGTTTAGTTCCAACCCTAATTAGACACACATAGGCTAGCTAATTAAGCTCTTACTTTATTTCTAGAAACTTTATTTATTTATTTATTTATTTATTTATTTATTCTAGAAGAGTTTAGGGACCCCTGTTAAAGGATCTATATTCTAAAAATATGAATAAAATATATAATAATCACATAAATAATACTAAAACAACGGTGGTAAACACTGTCACTGTTTATCTTGAAAAAATACATAATAGAATATTTTTCAGATAGAGCGTCAGGGTTTAGGGCAAAGATATTGCAAAAATCTTCATACAATTAAAAAGTAATCTTTATGATAGCAAAACTATGCTGAAGTGCTAGAATGTGTAGCTGGAAATAATAAACAACAGAAAATTAAACCTATTTAAAAAAATTTTTACAAAGTTATTAAACATTAATCTAAACCTACAATTAAACTATTGAGAAAGTAATACATTAATATAATATGGAATAATATAATATATATATATATATATACATACAGTTGAAGTCAGAATTATTAGCCCCCTTTTGATTTTTTTTTTTTCTTTTTAAATATTTCCCAAATGATGTTTGACAGAGCAAGGAAATTTTTACAGTATGTTTGATAATATTTTTTCTTAGAATAAATTAATAGAATAAAAGCAGTTTTTAATTTTTTAAAAACTATTTTTGGGACAAAATTATTAGCCCCTTTAAGATTTTTCGATTGTGAACAAAACAAACCATCATTATGGAATAACTTGCCTGATTACCCTAACCTGCTTAGTTCACCTTATTAACCTAGTTAGGCCTTTAAATGTCACTTTAAGCTGTATAGAAGTGTCTTGAATAATATCAAGTAAAATATTATTTACTGTCATCATGACGAAGGTAAAATAAATCAGTTATTAGAAATATATATATAAAAATATAAAAAAATTAAAACTACAGACATCTTTAAATAATACAAAAACAACAAGTCAGTTTAAAAATACATATAATCAAAAAATATTCATGGGTTTTTGTCAGTTTAAAGAAAGAAAGTCTAGGTCTTGGACAAAAGTATACTAATAAATCTAGCCTTTAAAACAGGTATTCATAAGATACAACAGTAAATTATAGCAACGAAAAAATCCCATGACATTCATGTACAACCATATGCAACATATCTCTCTGTATGTACTGTACATGTTAGTTGTTTCCTTGCAGCTTGTTGCTGAAAATATATATATTTGATGAAAAAAAAAACAAAAAAAAACAAGCCATTACTGCTGCCCACCTTAGAGTGCAGAGTCCTGGAATAAGACAGCGTGTCCTTACTGAGCGTCACATAGTACTTCTTAAAGGGAGAAGTCATTGGCATACACTTGTCCTTGGTCCTGTGCAGGAAGAGAAAACCCTCTTTCTCCATAGTGCCGCACTGGAGGCTCATTCGTGTCTGAAGTTCAAGATCTGGATTCAAAATAAAGTAAACACAAGAAACAGCAAGATAAGTGATTATTTGAAGACTGGAGAAGCGTGAAGTGTGACTTAATATACTTCCATTAAAAAAAAAGAAATACAATGAACCCTTTTCACAAGACTATTATGAAGCAATTAACGGTCTTAAAAATCTATCAAATTACAAAAAAACTAATTATCGCTTGTGGGAGGCATTTCTAATACAGCGTCTAGGAGCAGGACAGTAAATTTGACCTTGTTCTCTTTTCTGGCTGCCGTTGTCAGTCTCACACTATTTGTTTTCTTTTTCTGAAAGTCTTGCCAACACCATTGTGGAGTTTTTCTTTATTCGTTTCAGCAAATTGTGATACAGGAGTGTAAAAAATGATTTGTCGTACTCTCCCATTCACTGAGCTCCAAGTTTTTCCAACTATGATGACTTCCGCTACTGAGAAACCCACGAATATAAAAAGAGTCTTATAAAATGGGTCCATATCATACACTAAAATGTCATTTCATTTGGATGAAGCATGATCCCTTTAAACTGGTGTCACTGCTCCTTATAATCATAGTGCAATATCCTTTGCAGGGCACTTATTGTTAAATTGAACGTCTGACGAAATACGAAATGTGTAGGGAATGGGATTGAGAACCGCTGCCTTAAAGAGTTACCATAGAACACATTTTTAAGCATGTTAACAGATTGTTCTTCCAATTTAAAAAGCACAATTTAAGCTATGTCATGAAACAGGATGTGTATGCTGGAGAGCACACCGTTTTAAAGGGGTGGTCTGCTAAGACAATTTAAACTTTAGTTGATGTGTAATGTAGCTGTGTGAACATAAACAACATCTCTGAATGTAAGACGCTCAGTTCAAGGGAGACATTGACTTTTACAGAGTTAGCAAAGCCTACAACGAACAAAGTTTAGGCACTACAAAAAAATACATCCGGGCTAGTGAGATCACAAACGCTTAAGATTACATGCATTCACCATGCGGACACACCCTGCACAGCAAAGGGGCGTGGCCTGTAATGTTATAGCAGAGAAAGCTAAAATGTCATTCAAACGCTGCTATTTCCACAGAGATTGTTCTGTTTCTGTATTTGGGCTTAAAAAGGACATAAAGAGAGAAGTGATTACAGTTTAATTTTAATTATGTTCCAGAGAATTATAAAAAATATACAGCTCTAGCATTTGACAAAGGACAGCTTCCAGAATCTCTCCCAGTTCAGTACTGAATTCGGCTAAAAACTCCTCAAAGAAGGAGCAGCTCCAAACATAATAGACGAAGCTGTGGATTGTAAGACACAACCTGTAAGTGTTTTTATTTGCTAAACTTAATCTATTACATGCACAGTTATTAGCGTTAACAGTATATCCTAGAGCTGCATGATTCTGGCTAAAATAAGAATTGCTATTCTTTTGCTTAAAACCAAGATCATGATTTTCTCACGATTCTGTAGATGTAAAATAAAGGTTGATGAGTCGGCCATTCTTATTTTTATTTTTCAAACATATGGAAAAACAACAATAATAATATATGGAGGTCTACTGTTGGTTAAAATGCTCAATTTTGAATAGACTTAATTAGAACTATTATGTTTGAGATCAATCTGTCATTGACAACATTATTAGACCATTTTTTCTACTGGCAAAATCAGACATGTATCATTAACAGATCCCCTCTTGCAATATATTCAACATTATATAGGCTCGAGTAGTTATACTGACACTGTTAAACATTTATTTCATGCACAACACTTTGTGTTCGCTATAAAAGAAAAACATGTTAAATGCTAGTCATAATCATTACTGTAAAATGCGATATGATCATTTAAATGATGTGCTCGCTTTCGGTTTCATTTTCACTGCTAAGTGCGGTTCATACTTCCAGCGCGGCTCCCAAACGATCGATTTGTGCAACAAACGTTCGAGGTTACTAAAGTAACCCTTCGTTCCCCGAGGAGGGGAACGGAAGCACTATAAGTGGATTTGATTTGTAAAATCCACGCATTGGGAGGTTCGGTTCAGAAGCTACTCGTCTGAAAGAGTATTGAACGGGCCAATTAAGAATGAATTGGCAGCGCAAGCCTGCGCAGGTGAGCGGCATAAGCAATCAACTGAGTATATAAGCTCACCTGGCGCCAGCAGACGCTATCCTTTTTAAGCTGAAAAGACTTTCAACAGCTAAGGGACAGTCATTATGGCGACGGAGTATAGTGCTTCCGTTCCCCTCCTCGGGGAACGAAGGGTTACTTTAGTAACCTCGAACGTTCCCCTTCGGGGGGAACTTCAGCACTATAAGTGGATTTGATTTGTAAAATCCACGCATTGGGAGCCCATTGAAAGCGCCATAATGACTGCACCTTACCAACACCCCCGATGAGGAGATAGTCAAGCAAGCGTGACGCACTGCATCATGGGGGGCGCGGTCCTCCAACGTGTCCCTGGCCCTAATTTATCCTACTTCAACAGAAGTTTTACGGATTTATATATATTTTTGGGAAGTCGTGAGCATCTAGATAATTCTAGGAAAATACGACAGTACGTTGGGAAGCGTGCAATCCCGATAGGGAGGACGCTGCGGAGGCCATCCGTTACCCAAGGGGGGATAGATGGCAGAATTTACATATGGACTAGCCCTAAAAAGGGGGAGTACGCATAGCAAAAGAGTGGTTAGCGGGGAGGGAAGACACGGGTCCGCCCAGGGGGGGGGACTTAACCGTGGCTGAATAAGCATATGGGATCGCCTAGTGGGGACCACGCATAGCAGGCACCTTTACCCAAAACGCGGGCTGACCAGCGGGCAGACCTACAACGTAGTGGGCCAGCAAGTGACTCCTCCGCTGAGTCAGTGCTGGGGGCCACGGAGGAATCTGCAGGGCTCACCTGACGGGGAACTTTACTGACAGATAAAAAGGCGCACGTATCTCCATGTTAGGGAAAATGGCGCAGCAAGCGTGTTTCAACACCCTACCGAATTGTTTCCTCAATCACCAAGGGTTACCTAATACCCTTGAGGAAACCGGCTCCACTCGCAGATTGTAAAACCTTGCAAATGTGTTGGGTGTCACCCAGCCCGCAGCTCTACAGAAGTCTGTTAGAGGGGCGCCGCGTGCGCGCGCTCGAGAGGATGCGAAACTCCGAGTGGAGTGCGCACGCGCTCTCGGGGGACGCGGCTTATCTCGGCTCTGATAGTGAAAGAAAGGCATCCACAATCTAGTGGGAACTTATTTCGGTACGGCACTTCCCTGCTGCCGACCGTTATAACAGACGAAGAGCTGCTCAGATGATCTAAACTCTGAGTGCGGTCCGGATAATACGCAAAACGCGAACTGGACAATAAAGAAGGGCTGGGTCTGCCTCCTCCGAGGGCAGCGCTTGCAGGCTCACTACCTCGTATTAAAACGGAGTGGTAGGAACCTTGGGCACATATCGCGGGCGGGGTCTCAGGACGTGAGAGAAGCCAGCCCAATTACAGGCACGAGTCACTGACCGAAAAATGCCTCCGGGTCCCCAACCCTCTAATCGATATCAACGCGACCAGCAGAGCTGTCTTCAGGGACAGAAAGATACTGAGTCGAGGATCGAAGGGATCTGACGCGGCTTGTGTAGCGAGGGCGAGATCCTAAGAGGGCATGAGAGGGGGCGGGATGGATTAATTCGCTTAACGCCCCTGAGGAACCGGATGATGAGGTTATGCGTTCCCACGGTGCTGCCAGCCACCGCGTTATGAGAGCGGAGATGGCAGCCACGTAACCTTGAGTGTGGAGGGCGACAGCCTGCTCTCCAGCTTCTCTCGGCGTAAAGAAAGCACAACGCTGATCTGGCAAATTACGGGGGTCTTCTCAGCGAGAGACACACCATTCAGTGAATAGACTCCACGTCAGGGCATAGGCGCGCTCGGGGAGGGGGCTCTAGCCCGAGTGACGGTATTAGCCACCGCAATCGGAGGTTACCTAAGTCTTCCTCGCGTCTAAAATCTCTTCAAAGATCGGCGAGGGTGCCAGGTGGTGCCCTGTCCCTGAGAGAGTAGGTGCTCTCTCGAAGGGACTGCCAGGGGAGGGCTATCGCGAGGGAGAGCTCTGACATCCAGGTCCGGTTGAGCCAGAGGGGCGCAACCAGCAACCTGTTCCTCGTCCTCTTCCTGACCTTGCACAGTAACTGCGCGAGCAGGCTCACTGGGGGAAACGCGTATTTGCGCGTGCCCCGAGGCCAGCTGTAAGCCAGTGCATCCGTGCCGAGAGCACTCGGTCAGGGAAAGAACAACTAGCAATGAGCGATCTCGGGGGAAGCAACAGATCGATCTGGGCTTCCCCGAATCGCGCCCATATCAGCTGAACAGACTCGGGGTGGAGTCTCCATTCTCCAGGACGCAAGGCTGCCGTGAGAGCGCATCGGCTGCACGGTTGAGCTTGCCTTAATATGAATGGTGTGCAGCGATTTCAGCCGCGGATGACTCCAGAGGAGCAGACGGCGGGCGAGCTGAGACATGCGGCGAGAGCGCATACCCCCTATACGGCTGATATACGCCACCGCCGCCGTACTGTCCGTCCTGACCAGCACGTGTTGCCGCTCCAGCACCGGAAAAAAACGGTGGAGAGCGAGGAACACTGCCAACAGCTCCAGGCGATATGCCAATGCAACTGGGTACCTTTCCACAGGTCCGCAGCCGCATGCCCGCAACGCACAGCCCCCCAGCCCGTGTTGGAAGTGTCTGCTGAAACGACAACAAGACTGGACGCCTGTTCTAGAGACACCCAGGCCTGTAGGAACGAGGGGTCGCTCCAAGGGCTGAGGGCGCGGCCACACAGCGCAGTAACAGAGACTCGGTGTGCGCGCGCGTGCCATGCGCGTCTGGGGACTCGATCGTGAAGCCAGTGCTGAAGTGGTCTCATATAGAATAATCCGAGCGGCATGAAGCGGCTGCGAATGCCATATGCCCCAAGAGCCTCTGAAATAGTTTCAGTGGGACCACTATTTTACTGTCGAGCTCTCTCAGACAGTAC